AAAAAAAAAAGGAAAAAAGAAAAGCCTACGATAGGCCATTCTAGAATTGCAAGAATTTCTTCCTTTCGATGCGGATCGAGATAATCAATTGGTTCATCGAATACCAATTCAAGAAAATCTTCATATTGTCCAAATTCAATACGATAATTTTCGATAAATATTCGTGATTCACTTTCTTTTGATAGAAAATACTCCTCTTTCAAATCTATTCTTAAATAAATTAATGAAAAAAAAAAATTTCGCCTCATTTCATTTGCTAATTAATTGCTTTCAAAATAATTCTTATTAATATAAAATTAGAAATAGAATTAAAAGAATAATTTCAAAAATTTAATTTGAATTTTTGCAAAAAAAATTTTCGGTTTTCTTTTTCTTTCTTGTTGCTTTATCATACCGAACATCTTTGCATCCCCAAATAGCAAGTACCAAATAGATTGCAAAAATGAATGCAACTGGACATCGTAAATATGAATTAGCCATTGCAGCAGCGGTCGCTCTCGAAAATGATGGCTTTGTATCAATGAGCTTTTCATGAAGCATTCCAATGCTTCGATCACTGAATTCATTAATTGTTCGAGCTATAACAATAATAAAATTAAATTTTAAATAAATTTTATCATCATCTTATCATAGCGAGAAATTACAGAAAAAAAAAACATCAGTAAATCGAAAAAAATTCACCTTTTTTGTTTAAATTTAAATTTAGCAATGAACTTAAAAAAAAAAAATTCACTATATTCATTTGAGATTTTAGCAATAAATAAACAGTTCTATTTTTACTATATGCAATAATTTTATACTCCTCTTCTTTTTTTCGCATTTTTTGTTTTATTCGTATGGTAGCTGATTAAATTCGTAAATGCACAGAATTAAAAATATAATTGCATTATTAATTTTATTCTCCTTCTTTTTTTCTTTCATTTAAAATATTTATTCAATTTAAATAAAGTATAAAATAATAATTCTTTACTGCAAGGAACGGGAAAAAAAAAAACACCTTTTCTTTATTTAATTTCATACTTTTCAAGAATTTCATCAAAAAATTTCCAATTTCCATTAATTCATCTTTTTTTTTTTTCAATTTTAAAATGACAAACTTACGGGCAAAATGTGTATCACCGGAACGAAAACACTGGTACCACTTGACACCTTTGGTTTCACGGCGTCCCGCAACATAGAGGAATACGGAGAAAAAGAGCAGTGCAAAGGTAAGTAAAATGGCGACACCAGCGGCTAATACAAATGACATATATTGCAGGTATGGATTTTTTGTCGTTGAACCAATTACCGCTGTAATCATTGATCTTAATTAATTTATGGCTAATAAAAATTTTTCAATTTGTATCACTAATTTATGACTAAAATTTTTTAATTTATGACTAAATGTATGACTAACAAATGTTTTGTTATTAATTAATAAGAATGTGAAATTTACATTATTAATGATTTTCCGGGCTAATTATAATTTTCATTATTTCGCAATCATCTTTTTCATATTTCATATAGGAAAAAAAAATAATAATAAAAATACGAAACTAAATGAATGATAATCAGCAATTAAATATCAAATAGCAGTAATAGAGAAAAAAAAAATGAAGTGCAAAATCTAATAATAATTAGCAATTAAACAGCTAAATAGCAAATAGCGTAGAATAAAATAAAATGCGGAATTAAATTAGCAATTATTAAATGGTAATGATAGAGAAAAAAAAAATGAGATGCGAAATTAAATCGTATTGAAAACGTTATATTTTTTTTCCAAATGATATCACTTTAAATTATAATTTAAATGAATTATTGATTAAGCAAAATGATTGGTACTGATTTTGCTTCCTTTTTTCTAGTAAAGAGATTAATTAATTATTCAGTTAACTATTGCAAATTATTCATTTTTCTTTTGTTTTAAAAGAATTATACGTTCAAATCAAACCATTAACTGACAATCACTTTGAACTATAAAATTATACACCCTTAATTATTACACAAACGGAATGAATTACAATTGATAACCGGTTTGTTTTCATTTCGGTAAAGCGGGGATGTGAATGTATATGTATAGATATCGATTTTTTGAGAATAGAAATTTCAAAGAAATTGAAAAAAAAAACAACAATAACAATAAAAAATCCCTTTGATGGTAATGAATTGGATTATAACCATTCATTTTGTTTTTTAAATTTATAATTTACATATTACTATCAATTAATTAGAAGGTATGAGACAGGAATAAATTCATATTTTACTTGGTTTATTTCGCTTCAGAAATTGAAAACCTATGAAAATCTATGATTATACGATTAGTAAATTTTTGTTTACTTTTTCTCTATCATAATTTATCGGAATTCATTCATAATGGCAAGAAGAAAATGAAGATAGGAAAAAAGTTTTACTAAATTAAAGTTTTTTAATTCAGATTAAAGTGCATGCAAATATTTTACAAATAATAAATACCTTTCATTAGCATTTAAAACGACTTCATTTTTTTTTT